TTCAGGTAGCTGAGTTTCTTCCCGTTAAGTGGGTATGACACATTCATAGTTTGTTAAATGTTAAGAAGCCCTCAGACACTGCTCCCAGGCTTAACAGGTTAACAAATATATTTCTGTTCTACATTAGTCTTTTCTGGAAAATCGATAAGAATTGTATTGGTTTTACTCCTGGTCTTTGAGAGGGAAATGTGGAATGTCTAACTGGCGCTAACTTTGGTTTTTGTGTCAATTTATTTCATTTTATCTCCCTAATTTAGGCTTTTGCAAATGAGGAAGATGTGGCCAGAAAGCCTGCAGAGGAGAGGAAGAAGCTGCTGAGGAACCATCCAGATGTAGAGCGAGTTCGAAGGTGAGATGATAAGAGGTTATGAGTGACCTTAACACAGGGTCACAGAAAATCCTGGCTAGGTTATCATGGGAAGCTAAATAATAACTAAACCAGATAAAAGACTTCTATGGACAATTCAAATGGTAAACTATCCAATAAAAACAAGTTGTGATAGATACTGATAGATCCTATGTGTTTTTGTTCTCCAGGTGTCACCAGAATGACATAGAGAACATTATTCCCTTCGTGTTGGTCGGCCTGCTTTACGCTCTGACTGGCCCTGTGCTGTCGGTCGCTCTGCTTCACTTCCGCATCTTCGCTGGCTCTCGCATCTGCCACACCATCGCCTACCTGTTCTCTCTGCCTCAGCCCAGCAGGGGTCTGTCCTGGGTGATCGGCTTGCTGGTCAACTTCTCCATGTCTTACAGCGTGCTTAGCACCGTTCTCTACCTTTAGAAACCAAACTGGACCAGTTGACCTCTTCACATGCCAACATGAAACCTGTATCTGTTTTTTACTTTGTTCTGGTTTCAGTCTGATAAATAAACAATCTTTACACTTACTCTTTGTCCTGGAACTAATGTCAAGGGTGGAGGTGTTTTTTGTATCAACTTTGCTAACAACCTTGTTCTAAAGGTGAAACAGGTACTTAAACGATAGCAGGATCATTCATATAAAATGTCAAAGAAAGTCCCCCCAGTTACTTCAGACTTGACAGCAATATTCAGACAGTTATGTGACCAGCCCATATAACAATTATGTCCATATTTACTTTAAATCAGGCCCGGCGCTCCCCCAACAAACACGTTTTTTATTTATTTTCAAATGTGCACTTTAATGCTACGATGTATATGATGTTAGATAGTAAGTCAAATTCATAACATATATCCTAAATCAAACACATGTTTAATACAGACTTCTGTGATTAGCCCTAATTTAGACCAATCGCTGTTCAGAACAGATCACGCAAGCAAGTGGTTGTGCTTCACGCTGATCTGCCGCATATTCTGGAGTTGTTTTTACTTTGCATTCCCATTTCTGTTTGAAATGAAAAAATGCATATCAGAAATTGGTTTTAATCCACTAGTAGGTATAAGGATTTATTAACAACAAATCGTGATGAAAGGGATTCCGGGACCGTAGCAGCAGCTAGCCTTAACGTTGCTAGCTTGACCCGATCTCTACCAGCCCCTCCTTGTCTTGCCAGCACCACCCCCAGCGGTGCCGCACCCTGCACCACACCCGCCAGCCTCCTTCTCCTCCTTCCCAGCAGCACATCCACAGGTACTACTGCTATTGGGCCAACAACTGTATTACGCACCACATTACTCACTGCATAAAGTTATGTCGCTCTGTATTATGTACATATGTTTGCTGCTGTGGTCAGCGGTGGCCCAAGTTTAAGGCCCAAGCTAAGCTGCTGTCATGTTTTTGTATGAGTGCAAAGCTCATGCGTGTATGTGCCGCCGCCCACACAATGTTGCTAAAGTGGTTTCCATGCTGCTCTTTTTTGGTGCGTATTTGCACATGTGTGCGTCTTTACCATGGTCTTTACGCAATGCTGTCAGCCATGCTGTAAATGTTATCTATACTATGCCACGGCATATCACGGTTGTCTGGGCCTTCCCATGAAAATCACATGCCCTCTCTGTACATGTGTTCGGGTGCTGAGCCTGCTTTAAATGGATCATATGTGTGACAGTGTGAGTATCAGTGTATCTGAGGTTAAGTTGCTACTACATTAGCCAACCTAACTGTACGTGTTATTTGAGGACTGATATCCTTCCAAAGATTACACAGCCCCAGGATGGATGCCAACCATTCCAATCTTTGGACTCATTTTTTGCTCTTCACAATGACTGTGCAGAAAACAAGGGAACATGCACTATAAACTCTTACCTGCACACGCACATAATCCTGAAACGGTTTAACTGATTTAACTTCCTGTTGGACCACACAAACAAGATAAATGTCTCTCTACTTGACTTCCTTGTCTTTGTTATGAAGGTCCCTGCATGGTTAAATATCTATGGGGAATGGCGAAACACTTTAATAAAACATGTCAAGGAATATGTATTATTATTATTAAAAGTTAGACATGTCTTAAAATCTGGATTTCTAAGATGTTTTGCTAACATACACAGCTACCAACAAAAAACATGTATAACTAGTTAGATATGAGTGTTAAGAATGATATTGCAAATACAAATAGTATCTGTGAATAGACTTACTTTATTACAAAAGGCAGAACAAATTGACATGGCTCATCTTTGGTGTCATTTTATGTTTTGTGAATCTCAGCAGGGTGTAATATCTAAAGTTGAATAAATATGAAAAATGATAAAGTATAATGTCTTTATTTGAATATCAATCATATCCTCTCTGTGTCAGATGTTGAGTTCAGTTGAGGGAGAAATAAAAAAAAATGAATTAAACAATTTGACATCGACATTTCTTGAGATCTGATGTAATCCAGCATCCAGCATGTAGGAGCTTCTTAAACGTACCAATCAAACTATATATTCTATTCTATACCTGTTATGTTTTCTAGTTAAATGGAAACTGTCTTATCGTTCAGTGCTATGGTTAATTCTTTATGTTCAAAGTTTCTCTTTAAATTAACTTGAAACGGATTGCATTTCCTTAATTTATATTTTCTTTCTAGAAATGAAACTGCTCCATGTCCTAATTTTCTTCCAAGTATCACTATTGTTTAGGAAGCTATTGACAATTTTATTATGATATTGTTGAAAATAGTGAAACATATCTGCAGTATCATTCGTTAGTCTTCTCATCTGTAATTTAAATTCAACAAGGAAAACCATAATTTCTATACAAAGAGTAATTCTTCAAATTAGATTTAAACTTTTTAATTAAACACACTGAAAATCCATGCAAGAGTGTCTGCATTTTTATGATATATTATATTTTTTCGTTCATTATTCATTTCCTTTATTGACTGATAAAATGAATCATATTTTGATCAGCTCAGTAGCAGATGAATAATGTGTAATAATGTGTAATAATGTGCTGCCAACTGATAAAACAAAGAAAGAATGGAGTCACGTGAGGAGTTGAACATTGGGAGATATAAAAGAGCCATTTATGAAATTCAGTTTATGTTTTACTCTAGACATTCTATGTATTACACAGTCTTATTCACAACTACATTAACAAGTGCAGGAGTATTCAGATGTTTCATTAGCAGGAACAGAGGAGAGCTGACAGTGACGCTTCAGATGTGTGTCTGTCTTCCACTAGAGGGAGGCATTTTAAAAGTCAACTGAGTTGCTCCTCATTAGGACTCATTTATGGACCAGGTGCAGCTCATAAAAGCGCTTCAGCTCAAACAATTAACTTAATTTGCTCGGCTGAAAACATTCCCCTGCATATTCCACAACGCAGCTTTCATTTCATTTCCAGCAGAGCACAAACACTCTAACATATGCAAAGGCTAAATGCAAGGAACAACAACAGCATCGGTATCATTTAGCCCAATTTGATAACATTTTTATACAGAGTTATCGTCATCACCGCTTGTGTTTGCTGTTAGGAAGTGAAGCGTACGGACTTGTTTAGATGTGTCAGATGATGAATGCCTCACGCTTCACATGAAGGTGACTGGCTCCAACACAGAGCAGTGAAACCCATGGGTGGGCACTGTAAATAGTGGGGAAATTACCATGAAGGCTGCTTTGGGGCGGTTGCTCGTCTGCATTGTGTCCTGTCCCTTTATAAGTAGAGGAGTTTTATGGGAGCTCATTTGTTCGGGACCCTTGGCCCTCCAGGGTCTCTCATTCCTCAGACAAGCCAGGCATTTCACAGTTTGGATGGAGGCGGAGGAACACCTCAACCCCTTTCTATAGAGTGGCGAAGTCCCTCCCACTTACTTCCGGGGTATGGGACCTTATTTCGGAAAAATTATGCATTGAAGTCAATGGGGAGAGAAAACTTATCTTTCGATCCCGTTTGAATTGTGCCATGAATTACACATATGATGTTTGTCAATCTTAAAAAATCATTTCCATGTCAAAAAAGTCACAGTTTGTCTTAAAACTGTTGAAATATAAGACTTTGAAAAATACGAAACTAGAAAGACTACAAATCCCAGATCCCAGAATCCTCGCGTAAGTGATGTCATAGCTGATTTATTCCCTCCACTAAATATAAGAGATAGCTAAAATAAATGTACTTACTTACTTGAACAAGATGCCTGTGTGCTTTGTACCAGGTTGTTATCATTCCAGTAATAATACCTCTTGCTCATTCTTTCGCTTCCCGTCTGATAAAAGGGCCAGGAGTCGCTGGATCAAACACATCAGGTAAAATGCATATTGTGCATGGAACATAGTCAAGTTAGTTACCTAGCTAGTAGCAAGCACGTTAGTTAGCCTTGTCATTTTTTATTAGCCTTAACATGAAGTAACATAAGTAAACCAAAATGTTAAACAGTAAGAGTAGTCATGATGGTAAGTATTTTGTGAAACCTTTGAAGAGTACTGTCAAACCGGTTTAAGCCCGGGTACACCCTCCACTGGGGTCCCAGGGGTCGATGCTAATGTAGGCTAACGCTACATTAGCATTGGCGATCTTTTTTCTACTTCATGCTATCTGCACAAATGGTTAACATTGAACATTAAAAATATCAGGCAGTTCAGGGAGAGTCGAAGGCAGGCAGGCAGGCAGCTTTGCATGACATTCTTCTGGACGTGTTTCATTGTGATGATAGTGAGGGTGAGTCAGTCTGTTTTTTGGCAAGACAGTAGTTGAGTGATTACTGAGAGAAAATTATTCTAAGTGTTTAAAGTGTTGTGACTGACCTTTTTCTCTTTTCTTTTCTTTGCCTCACCTGTAACTCTGCTGAGACATTGAGGAACATGCACACTGGACTGACCTGCTCTGGCAACCTGATTTCCACTGTACGTATTTGGTTATGGTATATTATTTATATACATCAAAGGCACAATGCACCCCCAGAGCTGCACCCCACATAGACACACATGTATTGAGTGTGATATTTTGCATAAGTCATGTGAAATCATCTTTACACACTTGAAAACTGTAAGAGCAGCAATTTTTTTTGAAAATTAAATGTTTAATATCCGATAATAAAGTTGATCTGTTTTCTTTATTCTTCTCTCTTCCCAGCTCCATCCATCACCATTCTCTGTTCCTGCAGGTCCTGCAGGTCCTGCTTGCTAATCAATGCTCATATTTTTTACACAATTACAAATAAACTCAATTCATTGTATGACATGAAGTTGTGCTTCATTCTGAGTCTACAACCAATATTTGTGTTTCCAACATTCATTGAAGTTGAAATGGTATTACATGTCAGTCAATATATGAAATAAAAACATTTAAATGTACTTTTTATACATTTATTTTGGGTTGGTGGTGGCCCTGGACTTAGGCACTTAGTTAGTTGCCCCCGTTTTGCTCCAGGGGGACTGTCCCTGAAATGAGTTAAATGTAAGTCGCTCTGGATAAACACATAAATAAATAAGCACATACATAAATAAATTCATTCTGCCTTCAACTGCAAAATGATTGTGGACTGCACCGACATCCATGTAGCTGCCCCCCAGTAAGATGAACCAAGCAACGTTGACATACTCAACATACAGCTGTGCTCTTAAGTTTACATGCATAATTTGTGAAATATTGGTAATTTTTTTGAAAGAATGACTGATGATGCAGAAAACTTCTTTTATTTAGGAACAGTGTTCAGGTGAAGCCATTTATCACTACATATATGTGTCACACATAAAAAGGCCTAACACACTGTGTTTGGCCTTTTAAGAGCTCTGTCTTACTTCCTCGCTCTTGGTCCTCTTCTACCTGGAAATAAAGACAACCAAAACACACACAAGCTGAATGTTAAACGTGCTTCACAAGATAAATAGAAGAGTGCAGACTGTTAAAACTATGGGTAGGGGGACTATTTGGCAGGTTTAAATTATTAGTAATTCATTATATAATTTTCTCATTGTAGACGAGCAGACAGGGAGCCAGATGACAACACAAGAATATGCAGCTGCCATTTTCCACATGGAAAAGAGAAAGGGCCAAGTTTATTTGAGTGGACAAAAAAGAAAGTGAGCTTACCTGTAAATCAGTCCACCGACCACGGCTACAGCAAAGGGCCTGAGTCTGCAGGCACCAACCCCGAACCCTCCTGGGTGCAGTCCACAGACGACGACGACGAACCTGGACCCTCCGGTTTGCAGTCCAGTCGCTACGAAGACCAGGCAGGGGATGATCGTAAGAGGTCATATGGAATGGCAAAATATTCAGCAGCAGGCTTACCTGATGATGTCATCCGAATGGAAACAGGGCTTCCTGATATGGCAATGTTTAAAAGGGTGGTGGAGCGCTTTGAGGGCTCCATTGTCTATTTTGCTGGATGGAAAGTGGAGGGCATCCTGCTGATAGACCAGGTCTTCATGGCCTTAATGAAGATTCGCCAAAATTACCCACACCTGCATATTGCACAGCTGTTCCACTGCAGTACTGCAACAGTGAGTAATGTGGTGAACACCATGGTCCATCTGCTCCACAAGTTGCTCTTCCAAGCGATGATGTCTACGGTGCCCAGTCGTAAAAAAACCCAGAACAGCATGCCTGCTTCTTTCCACTCCTCTGCCTTCAACTGCAGAATGATTGTGGACTGCACCGACATCCCAAGTCCCAAGACAGCCCCAAGTCAGATGGACCAAGCGAAGCTGATGTACTCCACTTACAGAGGGATGCACTCCTTCAAAGTGCTCATCTCTGTTGCCCCAAATGGAGTCATACATTTTTGCAGCACACTCTTCCCAGGCTCTGTGTCAGACAAGTCCATTGTGCAGCAGTCTGGCATTCTGGCTCATCTTGTGGCTGGCGACCTTATTTTGGCAGATAAGGGATTTTTGATTTCAGACATTGTGCCTGAGGGTGTGATTGTCAACATTCCCCCTTTCCTGAACAAGGGCAAGTTCACAGAGAGTGAGGTGAGAGCAACCAGGGAGATCGCAAAGAACCGCATTCATGTGGAGAGGGCAAATGGCAGGATAAAGGATTTCAGGATTCTGGGCCTGATTCCTTCCCACCTCAGGAACTCTGCCAATGTGCTGGTACAGCTGTGTTGAGCCTTGGTGAACCTGCAAAATCCCCCCATCAGTGAAGTTGCCAGCACCCTCACGGTTGACTAAGCTAGGGGTTCCCAAACCTTTCAGCCTGTGATCCCCGGGGGGAGGGGGGGACTAATGTGACTAGAGTGTGACTAGTGGGTTAGTTTAAATGTTTAATTACCCGTTTTGGTATGTTTTGGGAGTGAGATGTTTATGTTTTGTCTGTTACTGTGGTTGTTTTTATTGGTCAGAATGTCCCATGTTAACATGGACAAATAAATCACCACTCAGCGTCTCCACCACAATCCCAATCTGCTGTGTCCTGTTTTCCTCCACTCTGCATAACACCCCATCCAGCCACAATAGAGTGTGTGTGTGTGTGTGTGGGGCACAAGCCAGCGTCCAGCCACAATAGAGTGTGTGTGTGTGTGTGTGGGGCACAAGCCAGCGTCCAGCCACAATAGAGTGTGGTGTGTGTGTGGGGCACAAGCCAGCGTCCAGCCACAATAGAGTGTGTGTGTGTGTGTGTGTGTGGGGCACAAGCCAGCGTCCAGCCACAATAGAGTGTGGTGTGTGTGTGGGGCACAAGCCAGCGTCCAGCCACAATAGAGTGCGGTGTGTGTGTGTGTGGGGCACAAGCCAGCGTCCAGCCACAATAGAGTGTGTGTGTGTGTGTGTGTGTGTGGGGCACAAGCCAGCGTCCAGCCACAATAGAGTGTGTGTGTGTGTGTGGGGCACAAGCCAGCGTCCAGCCACAATAGAGTGTGGTGTGTGTGTGTGTGGGGCACAAGCCAGCGTCCAGCCACAATAGAGTGTGTGTGTGTGTGTGTGTGTGTGGGGCACAAGCCAGCATCCAGCCACAATAGAGTGTGTGTGTGTGTGTGTGTGGGGCACAAGCCAGCGTCCAGCCACAATAGAGTGTGTGTGTGTGTGGGTGTGTGTGTGTGTGTGTGTGTGTGTGTGGGGCACAAGCCAGCGTCCAGCCACAATAGAGTGTGTGTGTGTGTGTGTGTGTGTGTGTGTGTGGGGCACAAGCCAGCGTCCAGCCACAATAGAGTGTGTGTGTGTGTGTGTGTGTGTGTGTGTGTGGGGCACAAGCCAGCATCCAGCCACAATAGAGTGTGTGTGTGTGTGTGTGTGTGTGTGTGTGGGGCACAAGCCAGCGTCCAGCCACAATAGAGTGTGGTGTGTGTGTGGGGCACAAGCCAGCGTCCAGCCACAATAGAGTGTGTGTGTGTGTTTATTTACATGTCCTCCTCCCTACTGGCCAACACAGGGAGCATATGCTGGGTGTAGAAGTTCTCCAGGAGGAGGAGATTTCCATGCCATGCAGGGTCTTTGGGGATGGGGATGACGATCGCCTCCTTCGTGGTCCACACAACAAAGTAGCAGAGACTCCGGTCTGTGATGTGCAGCTGTCCTTGGACCTGGTGCCAGTATGGGTGATTCTCCTTGAGAACATAAGACCCACCCTGCTCACGGAGATAGAAGGATGGTGACTGGACTGCCTCCGCGATGGTCTTGTTCCTCTGGCTGTGTGGACACTTCACCTCCAGCAGGGCAGATGGCTGCACAAGTCCATCGGGTGATGCTCCCAAAACATCCGACTCACTCACAAAGAGACCAGACTCGAGCACTGTCACTTGATAGGCCTCCACAAAAGCCTTCACCCCTTCGGCCTCGTTTACAACCCCCCAGTTGACAGCCATGACTCCGTCTAGGTTGTATCCCCCAAGCACCCTCTTCATGAGGGACGGGCTCGGAGTGGATGAAAGTCCTGACCGCAGCACAGCACCAAAATTGCTGGCTGTCAACCTGCCCCGCCTGTGTAACTGCCACTGAGGATTTTTCCGCTGTCCTACGGTGGCTGTCTGGATGGCAGCTTGCTGGTCTCTTGTCAGTCGCATTGAGGCAAGAATAGCCTCAATTCCCCGACCACCATGCACTTTCACCAGCTCCGGCACGGTGACAATGGCCTGTTGAGGCTGCGGCTCTGGCTCAGGTGACAAAAGCCATGCCATGCCACACTGTGTGCCCCTCAGTGCAGACCTGAACCAGTCCACATCTTCAGTGGCGATGTCTCTGGCCAGGGGGTTGTATGTCTCCTCTCGCTGTTGATAAATCTGAGACACCGGCTGGACTACTTTGGAAGTGACAGGCTTCCTCCACTGGCACTCAACATCTGTGGAGCTGATCTGCCATATGGCAAATATTGCCAATGCTGCAGCGTGGCTGCATTTATACACCCCCCGTGCACAATCACAGACAGCGCTCTGCATCGCGCCATCGTCTCCCATGCAGATCTGTAAAAATAAAGTAAGTACCATTTGTTAGCATGCTATAATAGATTGAATGAGCAATAATACAAGGATGGTCAGGATCTGGGGGTGGGAGGGTTTATTTGTATTATTTTCCATAGTTTTGTCCTCTTGTCTGATTGTTGTTATTGTTAGTTTTTTCTGTATTTTTTGTAATTTGTGTTGTATTGGTTGTGATTGTACATTGTATTTTTCTAAATATGTATGAATAAAAACATTTGATCAAAACAGAAGCTTCTACTGAATGCAGTTTACGTGGCTCAGCAAAGTTAGCAGACCTGGCAAAGTCATGTCGGGACGACTACGAAGGTAAAATAAAATACATGCACTGCACTGTTTTAATCTGCACAATACTGGTCTTAGATATACTTTTATTTGCTCAGTAGATCGAGCTAGCCATGCTAGAACTTGCTAACGTTAGGTCCAAGCTGGCTAACAACAGCCATGCCCGCTATGAACACGTTTTGACTTGTGAATAAGTGTGCAATGTTCTGTAATTTGCTTCACTAACTCATGGCACTAATCGTGTGTTTCAGGCGAGGTGTTTCTCTCAGGATTAGAAACTAGTTTTCCCCTCCGGGATAAAACGATAATATAACGTTAGCAATTAGCATGCTAGCTGGACATAATGCTACCTCTAACAATACATTGTAGTTGCTATAATTTCAAGTCATTTGCAACATTCATTCTACATGTTAATGGTAAAAGCTTAAACAGTTGATTACCTGCATGCCACAAAGACTGATGTTCTAATATTTTTGCACATTTAAGTAGAAATGTAATTGAAATTCTATTTACTGCCTAAACATTGTTCCTTGTCATAGTATTATCCTAAATAGTT